CCCCCCCACTCCAATCTGTTCACTGAAGGCCAAAATCCCCCGTATCTGTTATCAGAGATAAACAAATAACCAACAAAAGTTGAATCTTTGTTGGGTTTATTCCTCTCCTCCTCTAAACCTAATGTCTCACATCGAGGCCCACCCTTCTTCAAATCCTGGACTTTGTTGTTTTGTCTCGGTTTCAGGACGCCACTGAGATCACACTTCTTCAACGTGAGCAAAGACAAGACCAAATTCTGATTTTTAATTTAGAGTTAGCTTTCAATACATAAAACTAGTTTAATGGGCCAGTTGTTGCTCAGTTTTAGCAATAATGGCAGCAGTAATGACAGGATAGGAGACAGGAAATAACTCCAGGATGGACTCAAACTGGGAATGTTGAAGGTCTTCCTGACAGACAGAGCGCACATTAATGCTCCAACTTTATTTATCATTCCCTCGTAAAAATAACCGCTGGTGTGCAGAAAAATATCACCTTACATGATCAGCACCTTCATGAACACAGAAATGAYTGTTTATTTTTGACTTAAACCAACCAGATCAGGCTGGAAATATTCTCAAACACAAGCATTTTGCTCCTATTTGAATCTAATTTGAATAAACSAGCCACCGTGGGAAATAACCCATCTTTTTTTTACAGAACAAAGATTTGTATTTTGCTTATTTAAGATCAGAAGGAAAAAGTTCAGAAAGGGTTTCATTGGGTTTTTTCCTGTTTTTTCCTTGATTTATCCAAATAACAGATTAATTCTTAGGTTAGATTTGAACCCAGAGTCTCTCAGAAGACTTATTTATTTTAGAGAACAGATGATTGTGGTGTTGAGTCTATTTTAAAGTCTCAGCAGTGAAACCTGAACTGATATTCTGCTATTAACAGAAACACAAATGACCACAAAGACGTCATTTTTACTTTCGAAGTGAAACTATTTTAGAAAAAGGCTCGTGTTTTACTTTCACAAGCTGATCCTGATATCATAGATCCACTTGCATGCGACCAAAACACGTCTAATCTGGATCGGACCAGCGACCCTCAGGAGGGAGGGTAGGGAGCGCGATCTGCACATGAGCTCAGCTGGCATAAAATAAAACAAGTCTCTAAAGTGATCATCAGTTCTTCATCGTCATAAAAACCTCCTCTGTTCTCTGGAAACCATGAGTCATCTTTAGGTGAAGAGACACGGTGTAATTATCGATGTTATTAGACACAGATGTTTCAACAAAACCACAATCAGATTAATCATCTGAGGATTGAAGCAGCTGATTTCTTCTGATTTCATCATCCAAGTTTGCAACAAAGTCATCTTTTGTCATGTAGTCTGTTAGAGAAATGATCAGACGTACGTAAACTGACTCCACAAGGAACACCACACAAAAATATTAAAGCAAATAAATAATCCAGAGAAGATTAGAAGTCTAACTGAGCTGATTTTTTTAAATAATTAGTCATAATTACACCAACTAGCTTCTAGCTTCTCATTCAGCAGATTAGCCTTTTTATATTTTTGCTAACTTAAACCGTTCGTGTCCACAAATTTTAAATCCACTAAAAATTTACAAGCCATAAACTTCTATTTTTATGCCATTTATCCTAAAATTCCCTACGAGCAGAGCTGGACGTGTCAGGCACCGTGTTTGTAGCACGCAGCCAAACTTCAAAATAAGAGCGTCCAAAATTTAAAAACAAAAATACAGTTTAACAATAACTAATGCAAAAAATGGCTAAGTAATTTTTGTTTAATTAAATTCAAATGGTATGGATAAACATAAAAACGCCATCAAATAAATGCTTTTATTTTGAAAGTGTTAAACAGGGAGAATCAATTAACAGTTAATAAGTTAAAGATAGTGCTGCACCTCTGGTTTGGATTGGCTGATTCATAGAATCAAATTCACAGGTTTGCTTCAATCTCGTTTACCATCTTAGCGGTTAGCGTTAGCTTCCTCTAACTTTAGTGGTTTAGCGTTAGTGGAGCTACAGATTAGTGTTTAGTGAAGCTAACTTTTCAGTTAGCCGTGCCCACCACTGGTCGTTAGTGTTGTTAAATACATGCTTATGATAAAACAAAAGCATACTGACCAAATTTAATTTAAAATAACTGTTTTACAGAAGAAGGTGCAAAACAAATGATGAATCTTTAAAATTCAAATGTTTGCAACAGAAAAATCTAAACAGAACATTAAAACCAACTCAATACGTCTGTACCAAATAATAATAATA